CCCCCCCCCCCCCCCGCCTTGTCCCCAGTTATTCTGGGCTGGGCAGCACCACACAATGATGATTCTAGAACCCTTTCTGGAAGCTAACTCTGGGGATGAGTCTCTAATTCCATGGCTGGGGTACCATGTGGGGGTTCGAGCTGGGCTCTCTGTGTAGAGATGGACCTTTACCTTGAGGTAACCTGTTACTTCAGGTGTACCTGTGAGGATGGAGATGGGGCAAGACCTGTGGGTGACAATCTTGTCCAAGACGAGGGCTTCACGCCTCTTTGTGCCCTTGGCCTCCCACCACAGGTGGCTCCATGCTGCTCTCGGCCGTCTGCTGCTTCTTCCTGTTCTTTGGCAATAGCGAGTCAGCGATGATCGGCTGGCAATGCCTGTTCTGTGGGACCAGCATCGCTGCCTGGAATGCCCTGGATGTGATAACGGTGGAGCTGTACCCCACCAACCAAAGGTCAGCTCTCCCCTGGGTTCTCTCGGGGACTTGTGTGGGCTAGCTAGAACACCACCTGCTCCCAGGCCATCCTCCCCCATGGCCATCTTGGTGTCCTGGTGTTTCACGTACCAGATGTGTCTCAGGTGGTTGAGTTTCTTCTGCCTGAGGCCTGGAAGCAGTCAGGCTGAGGCTGGATAGGGCTGGATAGGGTGGGGTGGATGGCAAGATACAAAGGACGAGTGCAAACCATGCCCAGGAGAGAGGAATATGCGGGCAATAACCACATGTACCCTGCAATCACAGAGCGTTAAGAACAGGCCTGCCGATGGGAGGTGAAGTGAAAAGGTAAAGAACTTGGTGAGCACAGGACTGGGGAGAGGTGGGGAAATAAAGGTGGAGATGAGGTGTGATGGTCCAGGGCATTTGCAGAGAATAGGATGAGGTGCTCAGGGTCTACTTTTATTTTGCACAAGCCACATGGGAAGAGGCTTGGTTTAAAGGCACAGGGGCAAGGTCATTACTTAGCTGTTATTCCTCCTCATGGAGGAGGAATTGTGAATTTTAAGAATAGCAAATAAAGGGGACCTGTGGTCAAAAAGGACTGTGAAGTCGTATGGAAGGCAGGCAAATGAAATTCTGCAAAAAACTCTAAATTGGTGATAGAGGTACTGGAATATAGGTTGCTACGGAAAAGCACAGCACACCATCTCCTGAACCAAAGAGCATCTAAGTTTTACAAAAAATAAAGAGGAGGTGAAATTATCATTATCTGAATGGGATGTGATGGTACATCTAGGAACCCCAGAAGAGTTAATTAAAGAGACTACTAGAAATAATAAATAATTTGGTAAGGTGATCATTCGTATAACTAACTTAATAATGTATAGATTTAAAAAAATATAAAAAGATTTAAAATAAAATTGAAATGCTTTTAATAACAGCAGAAATCATAAAATATCTAGGAATCAATTTGATGAGAAATGTGAAACACTTATGTGAAGAAAACCATAAAGCTTTACTGAGAGATATAATAAAAGATGACTTAAGTGTATGTCAGGATATACATTATTGAATTGTAAGAAGATTTAATCTTACAAAAATGTCAAATCTTTAGTTTTTCTTGAACTTAAAAGAGTCCGTTCAAAATTCAGTGTGATTTCCACCCCTTCTCCCCCCTATCCCCCGCCCCCCCGGGAACTTGAAAAATTAGAGCTTATTAGGAAAAAGAAAACTGTGAAAATATCCAAGAATATTCTGAAAACAAAAAGACTGGGATTGGGGGCTGGTGATTGAAAAGGTATAGTGTGGTACAGTTACAGAAAAGAAAATGAGAAAAAAAAAGAATTTAAAGTACAAATGTATAGTTATTCTCAGTAAACTTGTGGTATGAAAAAGAAACATTTTACTTCTTGGAGAGAAAATGCTGGGAATATTGTCTCTGTATACAGATGGAGTCAAGGAAAGATAGATGGTTAATTGTAGTAATCACTGGGGAGTGTGATCAAGGAATAATAATTAGGGTAAAATTCTGCCATGGGCGACTGTAGAACTGTAGCAACCCCCCAAACTGTAGCCTTCATTGTTTTTCCTCTCCTGTAGAAGTCCAGAGCAGGCACTGCAGGTTCTTTTTTAATTGGATCATTATGTCAGCCATGGTCCAATTTAGGGTTTTTTGCATTCCTGGAAGCAGGATGGAAGGACAAAGGATGAAAGAGAAGAGAGCAAAAGGCCCACTCAAGGACATCTCTTAAGGAAATTTCTCAGGAGCTGCCAGTTAACACTTACATCTCATTGGCTAAAACTTAGTCACATGGCCACACTCAGCAACTGGGGTTTCTGGGAAATGTAGCCTTTCCCTTGGAGAAGTGCTATTTAGGATCATGTAGAAGTCTCTGCTACACAAGGGTGGAGGGTATTATTAAGGGGGAACATTTACCCTTCATCTTTCTTCATTCTTTCAGTATTTCGTAATACTCATGTATTACTTGAGAAAATTTCAAGAAGAGATATATTTGAAAAGGAAAAGAAACAAGTTTAAGGAAATACTCCAAAAATGTTAATAGTAGTAATTACCTTTCAGTGGTGAGGTTATACATCCCCGTATCTTTATGTTAGTCCGTATTTCCAAATTGGACTAAAATGAGGATGTATTCCTTTTTTTTTTTTTTTTGGCTGAGCCATCCTGGAATGTATTCCTTTTATATTTAGGGGGGGAAAAAATTCCCCCCCACACCTTCACTATCCCTTCCCCCACAACAAGGCAAAGAAAGAACCCAGTTCCACTCATCGAGTGAGAGGTAGTTGGTGTCTATGAGAATTATTTACTTTTTTCTTCTATTTCAGGGCAACGGCCTTTGGCATCCTCAATGGATTATGCAAATTTGGAGCCATTCTGGGAAATACCATCTTCGCATCTTTTGTTGGGATAACCAAAGTGGTCCCCATCCTTCTGGCTGCCACTTCTCTCGTTGGGGGTGGCCTGATTGCTTTGCGTCTGCCAGAAACCCGAGAGCAGGTCCTGATGTGACCTACCTGTGGGGAAAGGAAATGTCGCAAGAAACTTGTCCAGGAACTTTCAGTGCACCCACGCTTCCTGTCTGTCACCGTCCAGAGGACCCTGGATGGCACCAGAGAAGTTGATTTTGTGACCCCTAGTGTAGGACCCATGTCAGCTGTCAAGATGTTTGTAACTCAGGTGACTGATTTGGGGTGCCCTGAACCACCCTGATAATTATAGAGCTGCGTGCTTGGTTTTGGGGCTCCCCATCCCAAGGCAGGGGAGGAGAAATAACATCCTCCAGTGGGTGCACATACTGAGCAAGGAGTGTGGTTTCCCCAAGTGAGATGCAAGGACTTATTTGTGTTTCAAAATGAATTTGAGCGTGAGAAACACTCAAACTCCTTCATAAAGTTCCTCGGAGCCCAATGACCTAACTAACTGACTTGGCAGGAAGTTAGAGTCATCATATCAATATTGGGCTTGAAGTATAGGACACGTGTATTTTTGCATTTAAAAATATCACCTCTCCTATTGTCCATTTGAAAATTGGCACAATAGCATTGAAGATACTCTGATGTAGAAAACCAAATATTTGAGCATTATCTATAGAAACCTACTTCCCTTCCCACCCCAGGTGTGCTAATTCTCCAGGATGATTAGATGCTAAATTTAAGAGTAATATTTATTCCTATTTTGATCTATTCAAAGAAACTTATTGGAATAGGTATTCTATAAACTAACGTTGTACATACTGCATTTGGGTTTAATTTGCAGACATGGTATCTGCAAATACTTGCCAGCATTATAGCCATATTTTGGGAAGACTTGGTGTTTGAGGTCCCGGGAAACTGGGTCCGACCGAATGAACAAAATGCAAGCACAACTTCTTAGAGCCATTTAACTTGCTGTGGGGAGGCTGCTCTTCACAAACTCACATTGTACAGCTCACTTAACCCAGGCACTTTTCTCGGTGTAGGTGGAGTGCTCCCCTCTTTTACACAGATCACTTGTGAGTCGCAGTCAGCACTGGCGTTTGACTTTGCTGCCCTCCCAGCAGCAGCCCGAGAAGTGTTCAGTGGCCTCTGGCACTGTCTCTGTAGGTGAGCATAAAACAGGGTGGATAACACGTGGGATGGAGGGAGGGACAAGGAAGCATAGCCATAGCTCTTCCACATGCGCAGTCTTCCTGTTCCTTTCAGCTGTAAAGCATAATCCAGGTTTGTGACAATGCTCAGGTCCCATGAGAAACCTCTGCTATGTGTCTCGATTCGGGACTTTTGAAACAGATGTCCCTGGCATGGGAGTAGAGCGTGTCATGGATGTTAAGTATGTTTTACTTGAGTGTTCTAAGAGAGCTCTTTGCTGAGATCCAATTTGCAACATGAATTGGGGGTGGGGGGTGGGGGTGGGGTGAGGAACCTAGGACAAACTGCTTTGGCAAGGGTCAACAGTACACTGAGGTCTTGGCTCCGTAGGAAAGGAACAAGATTTTATCCGTCAGAACTGACTTGCATGGAAGGGACAGTGAGCTGGAACTTGTGACACTGGAAGTGAACTTGCTGAGGCCAGGTGAATATCAGTCTGCAAGAACTCGCAATTTGAGTTGATGGGCAACACTGTATCTCAATGCTGTAAGATGCCACCCTTTCCCTACCCAAAGTCTCCAAAGGTTTAAAACAGAGCAATGCTGGCTGTGCTGAGTGTTTTCTCAGTTTTGGAGAACATTTAGGTCCCCTGCTAGCTTATCCCCAAGATAGGCTGTTTTCCTGTTGTTCTCTGGAGTAACACATAGTCGGCGGGGAAAGAATAAATTCTATGGCACCTTTCTACCCTCAAGTTGAGATCAGTTTAATGGTTAAAATGTTTACTCTGCTTCGCTTGTCCCTCACCTGTTGCTTTCTTCTTTTTTTTTTCTGTACAATGAAGATACATCAACTCTGATTTCACACCCTGAGTCCCCCAAATATATAAATATGCCATTGTGTATTAATGTTTCTTTCAGTGTTTTATAGACGTTACCTAACATAAATAAATGCTACATTAATAATGAGAAGCCCAATGTAATATAGCTGTAATATACTTGCCACCTTCTTATGATGTGAAAAGACAGTAGCCAGTTCACACATGAGAGCTGTGTAAACCTGGGATTACTATGTCCTTTGTAACATTGCTCTTCATTGCTATTCAGTGAGCCCCTACTGCATAAGAAATTTACAAGGCAGCTAGAGTCTGCATTTCTAGTTAACATGGATCTTGTAAATCTAAAACGTGATTAATTTTTGAGTGTTGGGGTGGCTGCAATAATTTTGGGGGTACACCCTGTTTAATTTCTAAGCTCTAACGTCTGCATAATCTTTCTGGCTCCTTACACTAACCCCCGAACCAACCAAGGGCACTTCTCATCTCATCCCTGCTCGGTAGCCTGTCCCCATTGAAGGATTGTCTGGCACTGGAACATGGTCGCTTCTTAAGTGCTGTCACTCCCGCTGAGATAAATGCTTCTTTAAGTATAGTCTCTGTGGCAGGTCACGGGGGGATAGTATACAGCAGTGCCGGCCACCCGCTTCTTTTACATTTCATGTTCCACCCAGAGAAACTCCCAATGTGGCATCCATGGAGTATTGAAGGGATGAGGTTCTTCTTCGTTGAGCAAATCTGTTCGCAGTTGTTGATGTATTTTATGATGCCCAGTTTGGGAGTAATTACTTTAATAGTATCAACTGTACGGTGTCATTTCCTGATGCTGATTTTCCATCCTCTGTTTTACTGGAAATAATTAGTGAAAGGGGTTTGCGCCTGTTTGTGAGGTTTATAGCCCATGAGCCCAAGGTCATGTTATAAATCACCCCGTTGTGTTAGTTCATTAAAAATAATAAAAATAATTGTAAGCAAACCTTGAAGAACTGAGGTTAGAGATTATTTTCAGGTACTAAGGTCGCTTCTGGATTCCTTCGTTGATAGAATCAGCTGGGAAGAGCGTGGACACTCGTTTTCCTATAACTTAATTTTGCATAAGGGGACCTTGAGAGGTTAAATGGTGTGACCAAGGTGACAGGTAGTGGTAGGAGTTTGTTACGAGGCCTACAGTGATGCTCCCACTGTAATTCTGGACTAACATCCGTCACTAATACCCTACCTACTATAGGGCCTCCCATACATTCTTTGGGGAAATGGGACAATAGGACCAACCCTAACCCTCTATTAGGCCAGTCATTGAAAACTCCCTTGATTGGTTTACCTAAAATGAGTGGGAGGATCAGAAAAATTAGCATTCATTCATTCATTAATTCATTCATTCAACAAATCCTTCCTGAGCCCCTACTGTGTGCCAAGCCCTAGGGATCCAGTGGTAAAAAAAAAAATGGGTCACAGTTCCTGCCTCCTTCCTCATTTCACTAAAGCACTTGGGCAAGATGGATATTAAATCGGCAATAAAAACAAACCTTATCAGTCAAATACACATTTCTTCATAAGAGGATTCTAACTTCCTTATCATCAGCTGTGGATTTCGGAAAGTGGTTATGTTCTCCAGTGTCTGTTTCCTCAAGGAGTGCGCCAATTCTTATCTTTATAAATCAGGTAAGGAAAAAGACTCGCTTGCTCATTTTTCTGCAGAACTTGATCAGTTTTTACTTAGTCGAACTTACAAGAAATGTTACATGGGAGAAGAGATGGGGGCCAGGAGTGCAAACAGGCTATTGGCTAATGGGGCAAGGCTCCCGGTGGTTCTGGGAAAGGTATTTCCACCTCCATGTCTGGCTTTTTGTATTTGTGGCTCATTGCAATTCATTGGGCCTCATAACAGCATGCTCTGATTCTAAAAGCTTTCTCCTACCTAGCGATGCACAGAAGGTGATAACAATATGGCTAGATGTGAACTTGACTTGTGCTGACAGTCAACTTGAACCTGGCTTGAACATGTCTCTTGAAAAGGGTGAAAGTTTTTCATTTAGAGAAGAGGAAGGCAGAGAGGGATTAATCTCTCCACTTAGACTTCCCTAGACACGTGTTTGCAGAATGGCTACGGTGTGTCTCATAGGTCCCTGCCTCTAAGTGGTTCTGTCCCGGTCCAAAGCTTTGTGCTTCTGTGGGTAGCTGCATTGTCTCTGGTCACAGCCCTAAGAACAGTTTGGAAATAACTCACACAGAGCCTTTGCTTTGGAGGCATGCTTAAAGCCCATTTTATTTAATTTGCAGACGCAGGTGGGGAAATCTAGAATTTAGATGCACGGCTTTTGTGACAGCAGAGCGGTTTCCGAACAAATGACAAAATGAAACAGAGACTAGAGCTATCCACAAAGGTTAAATGGAGACATAAAAGTTGTTACAGTCCTTGCTTGTTATAGAATGCACTCAAGAGCTACTTGGCAGGAGCATACTGGAGCCGCCAGAAAGTTTAAGACATAAGCTGGGGAGTAAGAAGTCCTTGTGCTCTCACCTGAAAACACCTGCTTAGCTGTCCATTTCCCTCTGGTCCTGGGGGCTTAACATATCCTAAAGTTTCAGAGACCATAAGTGTGCATTGTACTCCCTTAAAAAGCAAAGGTCTGGCAGGAGCTGTCTTATAGCCACGTGAATGCGGTTACCACATTTGATAATTTTACTACATGGAGAGGTCTGTTTATTCACAGCGACCGTTGCTCAGGAGAGCAAACCACTCAAAACCAAGTGTCCTGTC